CGACCTCCGTAGTTGGCCTCTGAGCCCATGTAATTCAAGGCAGCATAAGGCACCTTGGCTGTGCAAATTCACGACAACCCCAATGTCAACAATGACAAGATGCTACAAGTAGCTCCAGATGTCCAAGTTGCAGCCAGGTCAATATGTCATTGAATGATATTGAATGAATGTGATGAATGGCCAAGTTTGCATGTGAGTTGAAAAGTTAAGTACCTTGCATTGTCCGAAGATGATCAAAAGATACATATAGATTGCACTTATATAAGTACCGTGTATGTCATACTGAGTATGTATTCAAAGTATTTCAAAGTGCCAAAAGTACAAGACCTGCCAAGGCTCCCCCTCGAATTCGTTCAAGAAGTTGCGCAGCTGCTGTCGAGAGATTTCACGGTCAGGCTCAGAGAATCCGTAGGCAACGTTCCAACCAACCTAAATGTGTCGAGTATTGTCGAGTACCAGTTGCTGCTATCGGGTGCTACTGGCACTTACACACGTTTGGCTCTAACAAGCAAACGTTGAAAGAAGCTTAGCATCATGCCGGGCCGAAACCACGTCGCTCCAGGATAAGTCCGTGGAAAAAGCACAAACCAAACAGCCTTGCATGATGGACTGTGCAGGAGAGGAACAGTTCCAGGATGACTCCTTTTGCACTCCACAAATTTGTTGAAGTTGTCCTTTGCACTCCTTTTCAAATTTGTTGAATGTATTCAGAGGCAACTCTCAGAGCTTGATTCAAATGCTGACAAGATTCATTTTGTGGAATTCTTTTGGCTTATCGCAGCTGTTGAACCTTAGGCGTCAATTCATCCATCTTCACCCACTACAACTACAACTACAACGTCAGCGAATGCAGCAAGCAAATCAAGCAAAAAGTTGCACAAAGCAAGCGAATCCGTTATATACTAGCATCGAGAATCTCCATTACTCTCGCACCAAGGTACCACTCCTCGTCAAAGCCCAAGTACGCTCGCAGCAGGGCCTGCTTCAGTCCCTTTGGAGGCTCAATGGTCATTTTGATACCTGAGTTTGACTCATTTTGGCTCGCGTGCAGCAACTTTGTGCCTTTGCCTCTAAATCTAAATCCTCTCAAGATATGCAGCTTGCACAATTGCAACAAATTGCTCTCTCCGTGATGCTCTATCTAAATTGATCCGAATTGCCCATCTGCAGAATCGAAATTGGAAACGCAGGAGATGGACACGCTGTCAGCCAGAGTCGGAAGTCCTGTCTCAGTCAGAGCTGTTGAACACAAGAACAGGGCAAGCACGTGTTTGCAAAACTGTTCCTTCTTGTGCTTAGAAATGTTCTGCTTCTTGCAAAAAACAAACCTTGACAAGTACGGACAGGCTAGCGCAAAGCGCAGCAGTGGCAAAACACTGTTGAGGCACACCTGATTCATGCTGTCCGGATCGAACTTTTCGACCTCAAACACAACAAAGAAATGAAGTTTCTTGACACAGCTTCAGCAATTCATTCAGCAATTGCACTTCCAACAAGCTGATTGGCTGATTCAAAGTCTTGGGTCCCAAACAATTGATTCCAAGGTTGGCATGAAGCTGGGTGCCAAGTGGCAATTCTGCAGCAAGACCTGTCATTGCTCACTGCCAGAATCTGTTGATCAACTGCCTGTTTGTTTGCCAAAGTCGCATATATAGATGATTGTTTATCGTGTTTATGAGTGTTTAGACATTTTCAATGTATCTGGAATGTCCATGAATGTCATATTCACTCTCATCAGCACTATATATCATTCAGCACTATCATTCAGCACTATATCATCTATATGGGGATGGGTCAAAACCCTGGTACCCCTTTTTTGTTCACATCAAAATAGCTGGGTTAAAATGGATGTTCAGCCCATTAAAAATATGCTATTCATTACGGTAGTGATCCATAGCCATATCATCTATATCTGCTCAGCTCCCAGGAACGATCAGCCAGGAATACCCATTTTCCAGACTGCGATCCTTCGTTGATCCCTGCGATGGCCTCGCAGAAATGAAACCAGCCGGCTGATTTTTTTACGACCTGACCCATGACCCAAGATGACCCAAGATGACCCAAATAGTATCCTTATGATATCCTTATGATATCCTTATGATATCTTATGATCTTTAAGCTTACAGGACCTTGGAATCCTTGGAATAAGTTGTGCAAATTGCTTGGGCAAGTTGGTCAAAATTTGACAAGCCCTGAAACTCTCCGTGCCTTTGGACCTTGACCCTGACCCAAACTGATAGGATTGATCTTTGCCAACATGTCAAGCCTCAGAATGCATGGCCACGTTGCAACTTCGGAGTGTATGATGACAATTGATGACAAATTCCGTGACAGGTTACAGAAGCTATGCATATCTATGCACATCTTTGCATGCCTATTCTTGTCCGCATTCTGTTTACAAAGACCACTTTTGATCCATGATGATCCAAGCGTCATCTCCGCGAGCTTCTGGATGTCCGCCATGGGATCGCTTCCAGATGCCAGGATGTAGATGAGCCTCAACACGCAGCGGGGCTGCAAATCACAGCGCGGAAAGTTGGCTGATATGCCGTTGAATGCCCTACAGATCCCTACAGCCATTCATAGTTCTGTAAATGTCGGCAAACCATCAGAGTTTTGATTATTTTGTAGTTTCAAAGTGTCATGCACCAAAATTCAATGTTGTGAATCCTCGTGGTGTTATGAGTCATTGAGATGTTTGAAGGTCCTGCTCCGTCCTGCTAAACCTGGGCTGTTGTTGCTTTCTTTCTGGCAGGCGCTCCAGCGACTTGAGCAGTGTCACCGAAGTCTTCTCTGAAGTGTGACATTATTATATAATATATTAAATTATATATTAAAATGCAGGCCATCTTTTTAATCTTTTTGAGCATTCGGAACGCTTGGGCTCTGCCCAAACCATCCCAAACCCTCTTGTAGGATGTTATATGATATATGCAGCCTGGCGCACAAGACCCGACAAGCAACCCAACAGTTGCGGCCCGTGGGTATGGAGGCAACCAAGAAACGGAATGGCCGGAACTGAGTCCTTGTAGCAAACCTCAAGTCAGTTGAGTCGGTCATGGGAGCTGGAGCTGGTGAAAGAGGGTGAAAGGATGTATTCTCCCACTGCACTTCAGGCGTATGGAACAGTCCTTCCACCACATTATCCACATTTTCATACGTGTTGCCTGTGGGTCTGACTGGTCTCTAAGCAGTTTGTTTTTGTGTATAGTCTTGGGAGCCTCCAAGTCCAATGGCGGTGGTTCAAGGAAGAAGGTACCCAACTTCTCCTGTCAACGCAAGAGTCGAATGGGAATAGTGGGAGGAGCAGGTCTTCAATAGGCAAATTCCGGCCGTAGACTGCTGTGGGCATTTTAGGCATTCCATTCCATTTTAGGCAAGAAGGTTTGAAACGGGCGCAAATTCCTGCACCACAGTCATCAGAGCGCCCACCGTGCTGTCTGGTCGTAGAGCAAACAGCAAGAGAGCCCTCTGAATTGGAGAGCACTTCCTCACAGGAAACAGCGGGATGGATGTTGCATGATGTTGCTTATTGTAACCCTCCATCTTCCAAATAAATATCAAACACAAATGAAATCAGTGCTGCAGGGACCAAACATGTGAAGCTTGCGGTAGTCAGGGCACAGCTTGAAGTTGTTTGGCCACTCGACATCTGCAGGCGTGTCGCTGTCAAAGACTTCCTGTTCCAGAGACTTGTCATTGGATCATGTAGAATCATGTGAAAAACACAATACAACACCATACAACACTTTTATAATCCTTTGTGCACCTTTGTGGAACTCTTGGTTGACTAATTTGACTAAGAGTTCTGCGAAATTCTGCGAAGTCTTTTGACGATGTGCAGTCCTGCCATAGTTTGATGTTGGCACTGAACTCACCCACAAAGCCATCGAAGACATCGCCCAGAGACATCAGCTGGTTGATGCGGTTCCAGCTGACCATTGTCAACCATCCTCACCATCGAGTCGATGGACAGGTGTTCAGTGTCAATGTCTAAAAGCGCCTATTCTTTACCTGTGGGTGGCCAAAAAAGTCTAGATAGCCTCTAAATCTTCATGTAAAATGGAAACCAACAAGGTAGTAAATGGTATTATAGATGCTATAGATGCTGTAGATTTCATTAGATTTCTATAGTCTATAGATGCATATAGATGCTAACTTAAATGCTACTTGTAACAGTCCACCAAATCAATGGCTCGATAATTGCCAGCATTCGCGAACGCATGGCATGTCTTGGCACATCTTGGCACATCTTGGCACGTCTTGGCACGTCTTGGGTCCTGAATCAGCGGGCTTCTCCTCCTTGGCAGGTCCAGGCAAGCCCGTGAGGAGCGCCATGACCTCATTGAGCTTCAGTTCTTTCTCCATCTCTTGGCACTTCAGCGTCAACATCACCTTGGCACAAACGAGATAGAACGAGAGGCCCAGATGGCCCACAAAAAGGATACAAAAGGCCCAGAATATATCCCAGTCTTGGATCTGAGCTGAACTGAGATGTGAAATGTATTAGAGTGTCAAGAAATGTCTTCGGTCATGATCTAGGAAATCATTGTGCGAGACATCCGAAACCTGTCAAGATTTCAAGCTGAGTTGCTGAATACAGGAGTTTGTCTTTCTCAAAAAGGCCGCGGCAAACCATGACGAACAACAGCCTCAGAGATTGGGGGTTGGCCAATATTCTGGCAAAGTCGCACTCGACAAACATTGTCTCACTTCACTTTAAAATTAAAAACGGACTCCTACTCAGAGGGCTGGATGTACAAATGCATAAGAACCCTGCCATTGGTACCATGGATGTCATGCATGTTTAATCGCACATGTTCTGAAATCACGTTGTTATGTTGACTGGATTTGATTAGGATGACCCCTGAAAGCGTTTAACCTGTGTTAGCACTGCTTTGTCAGAACCAACTTGTTCAACTCTGCGATACATTTGCCTTGTCTTGATCGGCTGCGTAGCTAGCATTCAACTCGATGCAACTAGGACAAAAAGGTGCTCTTAAAGGTGCAATGCTCAAGGGAGCATTCTCATGAATATCATGATGCAAATGAAGACATTCAGTGAAGATCAGTGAAGACGAGTGGCTGAATGAAGGAATTGAATAGCTCCACGAATCGCTCCTCTTTCGATTCCTTTGGTTCAGCCATCCTGCAGCACAGTGGCATCAGTGGCAGTGGAATGCAGTGGAAAGCAATCAATTGATTTCCATCGGCAAAAGCCGAAAGAAATCGAAAGAATGCCACAGGGAACCACGCTTTGATGGAAGCTCGTAATTGAATGTTGATCGTAATTGTAGAATTTCGGTGACATGAGCCAGCCTGATGGATTGGTTGAACATCGCAATAAACCAGTCCAAGGAGAACCTGAGACGGGAGATGCAGATTTGCAGCAACAAATCTCATTTCACGACAACTCCAAGCAATCCTTCGCCCCTATGAACAGAAATGCCAAGCTGCTGATACATGGGATCCACGATGCACAAATCGCAGATGATGAAATACAGAGCAGCACAGCGCAAAGCATGATACCTCGCTCACTCAAAGTCAAAGGAGCAAGGATTGATCGGGAATCACACAATTCGAGCTGCTGTACCTGTTCCCAGTGATGCAACTTCTTATCAAATGAAGTGAATTTTAGGTGTATTCGGCGTCAAACAGCTACAGCTACAGGTGACTTTGTGTGAGGCCGAGCAAAAATCCGGGTAACCGAATCTTGCAAATGTATGATTGTATGATGCATCATGACTTCTTTGCAGCAAAAGTGCTTGTAGACCTGACGGACTTCAGCGATTTGCACTGCAGTGATCTCCTGTTGCTTCACCTGCTCCTCAATCTTGGTGCCCATGATTTTGGAGCTGGACAGCGTCTCAATGAGCTCTTCATCATCCAGAATGTTGCCTGTCACGGAGCATCAGCACAGGAAATGTCCACATTCCGTGCCCGGTCCTGAATCCTACACCCTACACATAAACACTAATCGGCTGAGGGCAACCAACTGTCCGTCGTTTGGCCGAAACATGCTCATATTATCTCATATCCCTGAGTCATCTGTAGATTCTGTTGCACGCTGAATCTGAATAAAGGCTCATGAAATCTCATGACTATGTTTGAATTTTGATGTGCTTTATTTCTCATTCTCTGTTTGTATATATTTGGCCGTGCACCTACCTGACTCCACATATTACAGCAAAATGGAGCAAGCTATGTTTGAAGTCTGATCTGCCACCGCGTGTCCCCCCCTCGATTTGCGGGGGTCATCCAGGCACATTGTTCATTGTTGTACAGTACCTTCCCTATGAATCCCTATGAGACTCAAAGAGTTTGTGGCTGGCTCATGGCCTGTAGAAGAACTCAATAGCTGCAGGATCTTGTCTTCCAAGTCTTTGAGCTGTGCTTTGGCCTTTGCAGACTCAATGACCAAATTCACTCGCTTTTCCTCTGTGGCTGGCTCTTCTGCCGCCACCACGATTCCAAGCATCTGATCTTGCAGACCGTCCTGCACTCAGCTGCCTTCAGCCTCTGCTACCAATTTCAAGAGTTGCAACGAATAGAACACAAAAACTCTTCAAGGGCTCATGCAACGCAGAGAGAGAGAGAGAGAGACAGAGACTCTACTGATAATTCAGCATGTCATGTCCAAATCTCCTGTGTGGCCATGAAGTTCAGGATACTGACTGCCACGCAGATTTCAGGCGGGAAGTGCGGATTAGGAAGCTTGGTCGTGATGTACAGCCTCAGTGCATCTCAGTGCAATGCTGCTGTTTTGCGGAAGTTCGTTTGCAGGAGGCCCTATATAGTGATTTGGGATGTTCAAAACAACAGCTTCACAATGCTTCACCTATCTTTACATTGCTCCTGATACATCCTGAATCATCCTCATGCGCTTTCTTCAAACCATCCTCTCTGATCACATCTGATCACTTCATTCACTTTCAGGCGAGCTGCTTGAAGTCCTTGGACCATTCAATGGTCGAATCTCCCAACCTCACCATGGTGAGGGTGCCTTGCTTGAAGGTTGCCTTCTGAAGGACTGGATCCAAGATGGCATCAAGGCTCTCTTCCACGTTTTCCAAAAGAACAGGTGTGCCAAACTGGATGCAGTTCTCCAAATCTCGGATGTAAGGCATGTTCAGTCGGAGAGCCTGGAAGAAGGAACCGGAAAACCCAAGAAATTCACTGCTTTGTTATGTTTATATTCCGATATATCATACTCATATTATCTCATATTCTACTATTCCATGAAACTTGAGGACGCGACTTGGGTGCATTTCACATTTTGAACCCTGAGCCTTAATGTCTGGATTGCTCTTCTTGGTCCACTTGTTGGCCTGCATCTGTGGATCAATCATCAATGGCCAACGCCTAGAATTGTCCAGGATGATCGCATTGTCAATGGACAAGGCATCGTTCGGCAAGTAATCAATGACCCACTGCCGGATCTTCACTTCATCGCCGATACTCTTCCTCAATATTGGCAGAATCGTTCAGGCATTCAATTTAGCACACAGTTCAGACACATAAGACTTGACGCAGGGAAGTTACCACGTCTTCGTGTTGACAAGAAGTGTACTGTATCTACCCAGTTGGATGTTCGAATGATGTTCGATACAACACATCATTTCTGATATTTCTGCTGTATGGCAAGCGCGAGGAAGTGCACCTTGAACCGAAGGAATCGTTGACTGGAAGGCCATCTATGTCAACGAAGCTGTTTTTTTTCTTTTTTTCATCTTTCACACGGCAACTCACAATTCCTTTCTTTTCCGGATCTTGCCAAGGCTCGACAGGCTGAACTCCTTGCTGGCTGGGATCTTCAAATCCGACAGTTTCTGGAGCCATCCATCGCAGGCCTCCTTTCGGTAAGCACCAGTGAACACTCCCAGGTAGGCAATGATGCCAGAGGCGATCAAAATATCACCTGTGAAGGCACTGTGAAGGGGCGCAAACTCAAACTCAAACAGCTCCAATAGTTTTAGCAAGTTTCAGCCAAGACTTCTCCAAAGTTTCTATATTATATCATATTATATCTCCTACCGGTCCTACCTTGGTAGACCAATGTAGACCCCCCCGTCAACATACCCCGGAATGAATATAATCTATTCTGACCCCAATCTGGAATAATTCCTTAGGGCAGGGGATGTACCATATTCAAGTTTTCTCAATGGGATTCAACCTGAGTGTTCTTGTATAAACTTATAAACTCTGTTTTTCTTGCAGACCACCTGTCAGGTTGTTGTAGTCGAGACCCAACTTCTTGCTCTTGGCTGACCAGCTAGCTTGCTCTCCGCCCAAGCCGTCAATCAGCTTCTCAGCCCGAGCCAATTTGGCAGCACAGTCCTACCGAGTCCGAATAAAAGGCTTCAGCTGCTTGTGTTTGCGCATGTGGCACTATACAGTACATGTCTAGAAACACTGCTGAACCTAACATGTCTAGCAGAGTGGACTTGTGGCTCATGCACGTTGGCTTCAGTTCCTTTTCAGAACGGTGTTCACCACATTTGCCAAATGCATCTTTGAAAGGGAAGATTGAGCCTGTCAGGTCTTGTGGCTACAACACACACTTATCACACTTTACAATATCTGATCAGAATAGCAACTCATATACACAGAAAATGAGTTTTGATTGACGGCATTTCAAATCATTTCACCCTCCGAATCCGAGTATTCCGACTATTCCGAGTCCTTCTGATTCCTCTGCAATTCCTTGGCCTTTTCATTGGCTTCATGCAATTGTGCTTCGAGGTCTGCCACCATATCCATGACTTCCTTCAATTCTGCCTGCTTGGCTGCCACAGTGGCTTCAGCCTCAGCCACCTCAGCCTCAGCTTGTGCCAACTTCTGCCGCTTAGGACCCACCTCTTTGGCCACTTTGTCGTAGACAACCATGGCTCGGACCCATTTGCAGATACCCATGGCAGCCAAAGATCCCTTCTTGATCTTCTCAGGCTCGAACTCAGGGTCATCATACAGTGGCTTCACCTTGTTGATCACGGAATCTGGAATGTTGTCCTTGTCATAATTTACCATCCTGTTGATCAAAGAAGGATCCACCAACAGCTCCTTCTTTGCCGCCTCCCAGTAATCATCGACCTTTCCCTTGCCATCTGGAGCTGCAACCTTCACTGGCTTCACTTCAAACATGATGCACATAGCTTGGGCGGTGAGAACCACACCAGCAGGTGGGGTCTTCATTCCTCGCACCTCACCCACATCACCTTTGGACAACTTGCTGAGTGCCTCAAGGGCAGCTTCATAGGCAGGCAATGCAGCTGCCAGATCCTTCTCACAGTCAGCCTTGATCGCAGCTGCGTTAGCTTTTTGCACGTTGGCCTTGGCTTCTTCCTCTTCCACCACAGCCTTCTTCTCCACCGCGCCAGCCTGCTGAGCCTCGACACGTTCTCGCATCTCCCCTGTCTCCTGCGCAGCCTTCTCAAGGACGGGCTCCAAGTCATTCAGCTCAATCTGCAGAGCTGAGACCTGTTCTTTGGCATCGTTGATCTTGTCAAGACCTGTGTCATATCGCCACTTGCCTTTCTGGACGATCTGTCGCCTTTCCTTCAGGGTCGAGATGAAGGAATTGATCAGCTCCAAATAGGAGGTGGGTGTTACATAGAAATGTCGTTTGGCCTCTGCCAAGAACTTCTCCGACAGGCTGAACACAGACTGCTGTGCTTGCACCATGATCTTTGTGACGTTTGTGCGAATGGTGTCGTCAAAGTCCAGGTCCTTGTCCTTGGACAAGAACTGATTGGCGACGGCTGACAGGGCATCTGCAGGCCACTCATGGAACCAGTCAATGGTACAGCAATTCACCAAACTTGGGAAACTTCGCAATCGGTTTCTGAAAGCTGAGCCAATGGGTGACATGCAAATGACGATGTGCAAGTTCTTGCGGCACTGCTCTACATACCATCCAAAGATCTCAGCAGGGGTGTTCTTTCCCACGGCGTTTGCACCCTTGCTGCACTTTTCTGTGATCTCAAGCCTGTCCTCGTTGGCATACAGGTTTGGCACTTCACCAGTGTTCAAAATGGATGACACCTCCTCCAAGAACGCTTCCTTGGCAATCTGTGTGTCCGAGAACAAGAACACCGTGTTGATATCCTGGGAACCGCTCTTCATAAGCATTCGCTTCATGTCTTCATGCCACTCGTTCATGCCATAGCCCTTGGACATCTCAATCTGGAAGAGCTCGTACTGTGCAACATATGTAGCCAGAGTGGTTGTTGCCTTTCGGCCACTTCCACCCACACCCACGAGCAAGGCATTGCCCAATGGGAGTCGGAGCACTCGAATGACTCGGCAAATGTGCTGGATGAAGCTCATGAACAGCACCAAATCCATGCGAATCTTGCTTACAGAATTGTAATCCTCCAAGCATTCTTGTACCTTTCCTGCCAGCCTTTCGTGATCCTGCATTTCCACATATGCTGATGACTTGGGATCACAGAAATCTGCAAAGATCACAGGCTCCAACTTCACAGCTTGGTCATATGGCCTTTTCAGGTGCTTGTCCATATTTCTCTTGCACAGGTTGGTGAACCAGTTCATGTCCTGCCTTGTGGTCAATCGATCTTTGAAGACTCGCTCACACTCATGCAGCCAACACTTGGCCAAATCATCGACCTTGGGCAAGGACTCTCTGCTGCACTGACAAATTCCCTGGAAGACCTTGGACACGTCTCGCATGTTGAAGGTGTAGTGGGACTTCGCCGGTGTGGGCAAGAGCTCCTTCAGCACAGTACTGTAGACCTCCAAGGTGGCAGTGACAGCACCAGGAGCAGCTCCAAGCACATCTCGTGCCATGACACTCATGAACTTGTTAACCACCGTCACAAAGATACGGCTCAAGCTTTCTTCGTCGAAGGGAGTCACGAAGAGCAGGTTGAACCAACGCGAGTAACGATCTGTGATATCGTTCTTGCCGCCTCCTGGAGGGCACATTGCAGCCAGCATGTGGATGTCAATGAGCTGTCGGAACTCCCATCCCTTGCGGTCGTACCAACCATATCCCATTGGTGTCAGGATGAACATCTGACGCAAAATCTCAATGGGCGGCTGGGCACCATACTCTTCCTTGAAGGGCATGTTGAGATCATCAATGAAGACCAGCATCTTCTTGTTGGGAGGTGGTCCAAATGTGCCCTTCTTACGCTTGTCCAACTTGCCGTCAATGACATCCTGCGTCTGGTTGGCAGTGGTCTGTGCAGAGAAGGCAAAAGCATTGGTTGAATAGGAGTCGGCACTGAAACCCTGCAGCAACATGCCCTGGATGGAGGCCGTCTTGGCAGTACCTGTTGGACCACTGATGAGAATGTTGTAGCCTTTCTCGATCAGGGTTCGGATCAGGAACTGGTTTCGGCACGTATCCGATGTTGGCACCACAATGGTGTGGTACGGTGTGTCCTTCGGAATGTCGAAGCCTTCAATCCTCTCAGTCCAAGGCTTCCACTTGCCTCCCTCCACCGCATCCACGAAAGAGTCATGCAGCAAGCCTTTGCGCGGGGCTGATGGCATGGAGCCACCACCAGTGATGTCGACCTTTGTGAAGTCTGCAACAAAATTGAATTTCTGGAGCAAGTCCTTCTTGTTGTCCATGCAAGCTCGGATAATGTCGCAAACAAACAAACGACCATCAGTGTCGGTGCAAGCACCACATGTCCAAGTCATGGTGAACCAGAAAAGTTGGAAGATCATGATCTCTCGGTCCATGAAGTTCTGTCCCAGGTCCATGTCGTCATCCGGCTCCTCACCTTCAGGGATCTTCACCTCTGGCTTGCAGAAATTCTCCGTTGTGTCGCACATCAAAGCGTCCATCATTCGTGTAGCCATGCAACAAAGCCAGCCATCAGATACCGGGAAAGGAGTCTTGACTTTGTGAGTGCACTCCAGCATGACCTCAAAGTAGTTGTTGAAAAGCGAGAAAAGCTGGTCCCTGTGTTCTTCCTTGAGGTAGTCCGGAATTGTCAAAAGCCAGGAATCCACAATGGGCTTCCACCCCAGGTCTGTGTCAGGTTCCAGGAAAACAATTCCTACTCGGGACACAGTGGCAGGGGAGGCATAGTCCAAATCCCTGACCTCGAAGAGCATGGTCGTGACGGTGGACAGTTTGATGATCTCTCCACTGTTCAAGCACAACTTCTTGTTGTCATCCAGCACCGTGTTCATGTTCTCGATCCAAATGGCATCGACAGGGCCATCAAGGACAACCCACTGTCTCTTGCCATCTCCAAAGGCTTTCATTGCCTCTCGGACAGCAATGGCTAGCACACCATCTGTCCACTCTTGGGTATTGAGATCGCTCTCTCCGTACAGCTGTCCCTGGGTAATCGATTTGGGGTTCATGACATATTGAGTCACAGGCACCATCTCCTCCCCATCGGCCAGCTCCCCAAGGGTTTCAGCGAGGACATTCTTCACATTCGTCTTTCCGCATGGTGGGATTCCTACAGTCATGAGACCGTGGCGCACCAGCACCGTCTCCCACAGCTGGATGACCTTTGTTGTGAAGGGCTTCGTAGGTTGCAATCCGCGCTTCTCCGCAATCATATCGATTGTGGCCAGAAGTTTTCCAGCGTTGCTGGGGGGCAACTCCACCCCTGGGAACAAATCTCCAATGATACCCTTGAACAGTGGTAGGTCTGCTGTCGTGAACTTGGGCAGATTCACATCAGTGAAGGATCGCAGGGCAATGACATCTTCTGGATATTTGTCGCCGTAGGTTCGCTTGCCGTTTCCACCTGCCACCAGCAAGGCGTTCAATCCTCGCATTCCGAAGTCGTAGTGCCGCTGAGGAGAAAGCTGCTCTGATGACAGCTTCAAAGCCATGGTTGCCTTCGTGCCAATCACTTTTGCATCTGAGTACCCGAAACTGTACAGTCGAATCTCTGCAATCAAGGCATAGTTGGGCACCTGGAGTAGCGTAACACAACAAAACAATGTCCAAAACTTTTGACATTTAAGTTACATGGACGTCTCCAAAAACTCTGTTAAGGAACTGGTCAAGCCTGGGAACTATGGCCTACAGAACTTGCAAATGAATGCAGATTCGCAGTTGCAGTCCGAGCACCATCATGGCACACGGCCGGAACAATGCCTTCAAGTTGTCTGGCAGTTCGGATCGCCCAGCATAACCTGGATTCATGGTGATGTTCACAGCGCAGGTGGGAACCTCAAACGCTCACGACTGCTGGGTCTGGCGGGTGATCATCAGGTGTCGACGAATTGCTACAACATGTTCTCGGCCTTTCTGGTTCCCATGATTGTCTTCATTGATTGAAATTAGTGGCTTAAGGGCAGGGATGTTGAGAGATGTTAAGAGATGTTAAGAGAGTGTGTTCCAGTCTGGCTGTGTCTGGGTGTCTGGCAAGCTTGATCTCCGTCTCCTCGAAGACGAACTTGTCCACACGTCGCTTGATTGCCAGTGAGATCTGCTGAATCTGTTGCGCCACCACCGACAACACCTCCAGAGAGATTCGATTGAACTCATCAAAGCAGCACCATGATCCACTCGAGGCAAGTCCTGTCCGAAGGGCGCATGAATTCCTCTTGAATACTGAAAAGATCTCAACGGTGAGACTCACAGGAAAGGGCGGTTACAGCTCCATCTTGTTATGTCTGTAGTTGGAGCCGCAACTATATGCAACTAAAAATCCAGATTCAATTGCGTCAATTTTGCGTCAATATCTGATTAGAGCTATGCCTTCTTATTTCACCCTAATCTGCGCTGCTTCTTTGGGGAGTGCCGTTTATGGCCTGCCTTTGAAAAACTTGGCCAGCTGCAAGTAGTCCATGGAGTCACTACCTAGGCAGAACATCTGTCCCAAAAGGGCACTTCGCACAGATTTTGACCAAAAGATCAAAAGCACAGTCAGCTTATTCAGCCCACGCCAGGAAGTGTCGACTGGACTGCAAAGCCAGGTGACAGTTGAAGACCACACACCTCGGTATCACAGCAGGTGGTTATCACAGACTGACACCCATCTTCTGCTAAGGTTCCGGCTGGATCGCCAAAGCCTTGGCCAAATCCTTTGTACTTTCGGTCTTTCCGGTTCCAGCCGGTCCCTCTGGAGCTCCGCCGTAGTACAGAGCGAACGCACCTTGCAGTGCTGAAACTCGCTCCAAATATCTCCAAAAAATCACAAGCAATGCGGATTAAGCGGCTCAATCATGGTCACAATATGTCACAATGATATTGATGAGACATTAGGAGACTTGAATGCAGCTGGGATGCCCATCAAGGTTCGGTAGCATCTGTCCGTCAAGGGAGTGATGACCAAACGAGGGGAGTTGCCCAAATATTCAAAGCCATAGAGCAACGTGGAGTTGACCTGGGCACCCCTTTCTTGGCCCAGCTGCAAAGGATAAATGGGGGCCTCAAATCCCTACGATTTTCATTGAGAGACGTTGCCAAG